CCCCCCCCCCGCTCCCCGGCAGGGTCAAATCTTGCGCTTAATGTGATAATAGAAGAGAAAACGCACTCGCCGCTCAGCGTTACGACCGCGCCACGAGCTTTCAACATGGAACTCGCCAGAGATTCAGGAATAGCAAAAAACTTCACATGGGAAAACAGCTCAAAAACAGACAAGCAAGGACTCACAGAAAGACGACCCCCCCCCAAACAAAAAAAAAATATTCAATTCTAGATGATCTTGGCTGTCAACAGGGGGTAAGCAAACACCAGGCCTCCTCCTTGCCTTCACCTGCAGCACTGCCTGATCCGTGCACTTGCTCCCTGTCATTCGGAGGCAGGCCATTGTCTTCATGGCTGCTCACCGCTGCGTTCACCAGCGGAAGCGGCACCCTGTGAAACAACATCGACCACCTCCACGAATTCCGCGCGTTGCATGCGCTGCAGCTGCCGTCGGCGATGAACGATGAGGAGTCCGGCCCCCACAGCAAGAAATACCGCGAAAATCGCCACGAGGGTGACGGGCACAACGATTCCCCCAGGTGGAGCTCGATCCTGCCTCACGCACACCACGAGTTCATCCCATGTCGCAAACTGCATCGAGCAAACACTTAGTTTGCGGCACCACCAGTCGCACGCGCCTCCTGGAAAGAGCGCGTGATTCTCCACGCCGCCAGCGCGCAGAATGATGAATCTTGTCCACAAGTCATCGTCCGTCAGGAGTCGGTGTGTCGTCTCCTGAAGCGCCGCGGTGTCGCTCAGACTGCCAAACACGTCCTCCACACGGAGGCCGTTGGACCACGTCGTATTGCTCAAGAAGCGTTGCGCAAGACTCCGCAGGCTCCAGTCGTTGTCATCAAACTCCGAAATAAAATATGAAGGGTTGTTCCCGTAGACTGGCGTTATGGCAGGAATGATGAAAGATGGCACACCACCAGGAAGAACTTGGAAGGAGAAAAGGTGCGTGTGCCCGTACAGCTGCACTCTCACTGTATCCGAGTACTCTTTCATCAGGTTGTTAAAGCGCTGCTGGTATACTGGCTTCCAGTACATATCCTTCCGAATGGAATGGAAATCGCGTGCGTCGAGGACACCCCACACGTTGATATATGGAGGAATATGACTCATGATGATCACCTTCGCCCCTGCTTTCCGCGCGTCCGCCAATTGCGTGTTCAGAAAATCAAACTGCCCGCAGGGGTCAGTCTCGTCGTCGGGAATAGCAGGAGAAATGCTGTAGCACCAAACGAGTGTGTGAAGAACGATAAGACGCACTGTCGGAGAAACTGTGCGGAGGTAGTACGCGCATTTCACGAACTGTTGGGCCTCCTCTGGAAGTAAAAGGTCATTTTTCTCCATGATGTCGGCCTCATCCTTGAGAAACTCGTTCCTACCATTGATTGCATCAAGGTAATAATTAGGCACCATGTCATTGTTTCCCATGGCAATCGCCACACGTGGGCCTTCTATTGTGCCGCTCGTATTTACTGCGGCAAGGTTCTCAGTGAGGGTGCCAATTGTGTCGTTTAGTGTAAGTCCACTTTCATCAAACTGATGCCTCTGCAAGTCTCCCGCCATGAACATGTACGCAGAGGACTGAGCACTCATGTCTGCGCAGACTGAGGTGATAAGATCCGGCGGCGCATCACACCCCGGCACACCGAGAGCGGGGCTTTCAACCACGCATTTGCCGTAGCCATTGGGTTGGCCGTAGGCGGGGTCGTAATGGGTGTCGGATAGAAGGCTAACTTGGAGAGCTCCGCACCGCCTGGGCAGCAGAAGCAAAACCAGAAGCGTCAAAGTCGACAGAGTCATGCGTTGCATTACTGCGTACGACTTCCTTTTATTTTGCGGGGGAAGTGAGTTAAGACGGCTGAAAGGGAAGATTGAATGAAATTGCTATTTCCATCCCTTTACTCTCCCATACACAGACACACAAACGCACTTTTTTTTTTAATTATGTTCTGTCTTCATCAGGAACGCTCTGCTCTTTTACCACGTAATCCTTCAAACACGCAATAACTTCATTTATGTGCGCATCTAAAACAATAAAAAAAGAAAGCGCATACTCCGAGTGTTTCCCCTCTACAAGGCAACGCCACCCTCTGCCTTCGTAACAGATTGGAATTGTTAGCATTTCAACCGCAAGGAAAGAGTTCGTCTTATCAATCAAATAGATATTGCTGTGAATAAGTAATATAT